AGCACCACATCAAACCCTGAGAAAACTGAGCAAAAACACAGATATTCACAAACCCGGAGCACGCGCTTTAGGGGTCGTGAATGTGAGGGAAAATACATATTCACAAACCCGGAGCACACGCTTTAGGGGTTGTGAATAAAAAAACAAGGACTGAAAGTTCCTGCGATGCTGGGGTATTATTACCAACCATTTTCCCAACACAATAAGCTCGGCACAGCTCTTCGGTATTCTAAAAAGATTTGGTAAAAATATGATGCTTCGTTCAGAAAGCTGATGGACCCTGTATCCTCGGGGGTTCTCAAAGAAAGGAGGGCTGGGAATTACATCAAAAATGCAAAAGCTCTCGTGGGTGACTTTTTGAAAAATACTTCTATTTTTCCAGAGGGTGGCTCTGAGCAGGCATGACTAGTCATAGAAAGGGGCCTGAGTAAAAGGGGCATCCTCAAGGGTACACATCCGCTAAGGCATAAACAAAAGGGGGACAGAATTTACTGGACAAACAGATGGCTGCCCAAAAATTATGGGCCAGGGTAGCTGTAAAATGTTTTTAAAAGGCTAAAGAGGTGATGAGGAGAAAAGAACAAAAAGAGTTGCCCCTATTGAAGGCTCTCAGATTGAAGTGTCTGAAAATGGGGAGGCGAAATCTGACTCTCAGACAGAGTCTGATTTAGAAAAGTCCCCAGAAGGCTCTCTAGATGGGTCCCTGTCTACTTCTGATGATCCTCGTGGTGGCCCCTTGGAGTCTGACTCTCAAATAGCATTTGACGTAGAAGACGCAGCTGATGGTCCCATAGAGGAACCCCCAAGTAACCCTGAAAATGCAGATGCAGACCCCCAAACAGACATGTATATGGAGCAAGTGAGAAGTTGGCAACAGGAACTACCTAGATTTGGTGGTTTGGTGTATTGTGAGGAATTTCGTTTTGTTGATCTTGAGCGAATAAATTCAGCTCAGCAGGTCGTCAAAGTCATACACAGGGGGATACAGTTAGTTCTTGATGACGTTAACAGTAGGGTAGCCCCTGACAATTATGTTCAGTTACGTTTAGAGAATCATAATTTAACTAACCCTTTGTTTTTGGTCAGAAGAACTAGGGATGAGCTGTCTGCTGAAGACTTCTTAAATCAGACCTCAGAGCTGTTACAGAGTAACACAGAGATGCATGCCGATGGGACATTGCGCCTCATTGTGACAGTTGTAAAAAATATGGGTGGGGGTGACAGTAGAGTTTTAAATTCTATCCCAGTTGGATAGTCCCAGCTCTAGTCCCAGCTGCAGTGTAGACGTACCCTTAGAGACAAAGAGAGCTTTAGATAAATGATAGAGTCACTCATGCTCCACCCAGCATGCAGCCCCTGCCAAGCTGTGCAATGATGTCAAGTCGTCTCAGGAACCAGGCTGTGCCTATAACTTCCCCTAGACTGAGCCAGCTGCCAGGGCCTGTGTTGTCCACAGAGCAGCCAGCATTGGCCGGGAAGGGAGCCTGACCAGGGCTCCAGGGCACAGACTCACGGTCTCCCTGTGTGATTCCCACAGACAGAGATATGGGAGGAGGTGATGCACCCCCTGCTCTGGCAGAAACCTATAATATGGGTGGCAGCAGTAACAGCACCTGCCCTCCCTCAGGGCAATAGCCCTGCAGACTGGGGTGGGGCTGGGAGGGATTCACTGAATCTGGACGAAGGTTTTTCTCTTCTTGTCTTTCAACCCTGCACTCTGAAACATCAGTTTAGTGACAATAACAAAGGGGAGGAGGGGGGAAAGAAACACAAATACACGAACACACACACACATCTGTCGCAAAGGGAGCCCAGTTCTGTGCCAGCATCCCAGTCTGGGTACAGATGAACAGAAAAATCTCGGAATTTGCAGAGACATTCCCACAGCCAAGTTTACTTTCAGAGTCAGGAGGTGCCGGATTCTCCCTGAGAACCCTTCAGTGAGGCCCTGTCAGGGCTGAATCCCACTCTGGAACTTTGAGTGCAGAAGGTGGGGGCCTGCTAGGGTGACCAGATGTCCCTGGGACAGTCCCGATTTTTGGGTCTTTTTCTTATATAGGCTCCTATTACCCCCCATCCCCTTTCCCGATTTTTCACACTTGCTGTCTAGTCACCGTAGGGTAGGGGTCTCAATAACACGGCCCGTGTTATTTCCTGCGGCCCACCATAGGTGCCGACTCCATGGGTGCTCTGGGGCTGGAGTACCCACAGGGAAAAATTAGTGGGTGCTCTGCACCCACCAGTAGCCAAGCTCCCCTTTCCCCCGGTGCACCGTGTCCCCGCTCCTTCGCCTAACTCCCAGCGCTTCCCGCCGCCAAACAGCTGTTTGGCGGCACTTAGGACTTTCCAGGAGGGAGGGGGGATGCAGCGGGTTCAGGGTAGGAGGCGAAGAAGAGGCGGGGCCAAGGTGGGGATTTGGGGAAGGGGTTGGAATAGGGGCAGGAAGGGGGCGGAGTTGGGGTGGGGACTTTGGGTAAGGGGTTGGAATGGGGGTGGGAAGAGGTGGGGCAGGGCGGGGCCTCATGGAAGGGGTGGAGTGGGGGTTTTGCAGTCTGTTACCAACCAATTTTGAAGTTCTCAGCTATTTTGACTTGACAATTGGTGTACAACTACAGAAAGGTGTGTATCTGTGCTGTGCCAAGAGTACTAGACCATTGTGAGATCAGAGATAATTCAACCAATCACCACCCGTACTCAATAGCTAATTTGCATGCTGCAGTTTCATTTGTTGTATGAGGGAGACTTCAGAGATGGTGGATTACATGGCCCGACTGCCACAGCCTTGTGCCTCGCTGCCACCTCACATATCAGCACAACCACCTACACAACAACACAACCAGCAAGTCCAAATACAGATAGTCCCTCACCCCAGCACACACCCCTTATTTGCCACCAACACAAATCAACCAAAATCTCCCAGCACAATACAACCCAAGCACAAATCAACACAGCTTCCCCTGACAACACACATTTGCCCACCCTCACTCATACTTACCATAAACTTGAGTGGCTAAGTGGCAAGTTCTTTGCTAGTAAGCATATATTTGGCTACTGTGACAACGCAATAAAAGTCAATAGAAAAATCACTGTAAGATGCTCTACAATGTAAGGGTGTAGAAAAAAGGTATATATTATATAAGATACAGTACGTGACCCTGTAATTAAAAGATTACATGATAACACAGAGTCTCAAAGGGGCAGAGAAAAAGTTGTGTGCGCAACCCTAATTTTGGCACATGTGCTTAACTGTGCAGTCTTAACATTCTCTTAGTGTAGTTTTTTATATGGAATGTGGTACAATTTGCAAGCAACACTGAGACTGGTTTTGTCTCAGGATATCAAACTTAATATTGATGCTCTGGTTGATACAACACACTGCCAGCTAAGTGGCCAAAAATGAAATGACTGTCAAAATTAGCACTGACTTTTCACATTACAGTTTTAAAAAAGTTAATAATTAACTTTTAATAGCATACAATATTACTCTTCATTTTTTTCATTTTTGACTATACTTTTGTATCATTGTATAAAAAGGTTTCAGTGATGCAGCCCTCGGGCCAATGTACTAATCCTCATGTGGCCCTCGTGGTGATTTGAGTTTGAGATCCCTGCCCTAGGGCCTGCAAGGATTTAAAAAATTAATACTGGCCTCTCCAGGCTTGTATTAAAACCCCAGGATTACAGCTTTTCACTGAGTTTGGCTTGGTAAACGCTGCCACCACCCAAGTGAAAAACTGCCTCTTGCAAATCCTGGAAAAACTCACTTGGCAAGTTTTCCCTGAGGCCCCTCGGCTTTTCCATCCCTCCCTTGGGGAAGCCGAGAAAGAAAACAAACAAGAGGGATACCCAGCTGTTGCCACCAGCTAACTGAAAAACATGTGCACAAACCTTTTAAGACACAAATCAAATCAGGTTCTTAAAAACAGTAAATTTTATTAAAAACAAAAAGAAAGAAAATACATCTGGAACTTAGGCTTCTGCTAGATTTTAAAAGAGCAATTCCAAAAATTAAGCACCCCAAATAGCTTCTTGGGGTTCAGCTTAAAGGTTACAAGCAAACAAAAGCATCTGGGTTTAGCACAGAGGAGTCCACAAGCCTCACAGAAAATAAAAGAAATAAACCCAATTACGTCTATCTAAACATTTCCTGTCCAAATGAATCCTTCTAGGTATTTCATACCTGGTCCAAACTTTACACAGCATTCCAGCTTCCCCCACCCCTTCAGCCCAGAGAGAACAACAGAGAGACAAAGAAAAGGAGGACTTGTGGCACCTTAGAGACTAATCAATTTATCAGAGCATAAGCTTTCATGAGCTATAGCTCACTTCATCGATGTGCTTATGCTCTAATAAATTGGTTAGTCTCTAAGGTGCCACAAGTACTCCTTTTCTTTTTACAGATACAGACTAACAGGGCTGCTACTCTGAAACCTGTCATTATGCAAGAGAGACAAAGGGAAAGCTTTTTTCCCATTTTAAAAAGTTCTACCCTTCCCATTGGCTCTTTTGGTCAGATGCCCACTCCTTTTTCTTTACCTGGGGGACTTTTTAACCCTTTACAGGTAAAGTAAGCAGCCACCAAGTGGGACTTTATAGCTAACTGGCTGGCTGGGCGTCCATAAAAGGGAGATCCCCCCCTCCAGCTTCATTTACCACAGGCCCATTGGTGCTAACAGCCCATCTGAAGGGACCTCAGTGCTGTGTGTCCAGAAATCTCAGACAGAACCATGCAGCTGGGGATGCAGAGCCCGGCGCTCCCCTCCCTGCTGAAACCCAGAAAGAAGCTTTGAACCGGAAAGTTTGGAAGGTTCCACAAAATTCTACAAAGGTCTAGAACATTCGAGGAGGTTAGTGACAAATGAGGAAAGCCTGAAACATTCTATTTTTCCTTTTATCACTAACAACAAAACCAGCCCCCCGACCCCCCGCAAGCCTGGCACCCCGGGCAGTCCCCTAGGTTGCCTGCCCCTAAAGCTGACCCTGGTCCCCATGTCACTTACAGAGGCTGCAGCACCATTTCAACACACAGGGTCATGAAGCCGGAGGGTTTGAGACCGGACCCTTCCTCGTTATTTTTGTTACATTTGTAGCTGAATGGACTGGGCCGAGCCCCCTCCCCGTCTGGGCCTTCCACTCCTTTCAGAACTGAAAGTACAAAAGAAGCAGGAAGTTGAAGTAACGGTCTGTGTCCCTGGCTGGTTGGGGCAGAGCAAATTCCTCCTGAAGTACCAGCCCCACCCGCAGGGCACGGAGCTGGGCCTGGCTGGGGCATTTGCCGGGTGAGCCAGTGTAGGGGTGGCAATGCCCCCCCGGCCTCCGAAGCTGCTGTTCCTGCTCTCCAGGGATCGCTGGGTTATCAGTAATGCCGCTCTGCACAGCACCGCCCGCCACAGCTTTGTCCGGCTGGGGAAATAAAGCAGCACCAGCAAAAAGCACCAGCCACTTCGCACCACCCCACGCCCCTGCCCTGGGTGGAGGCAGAATGAGGAAGGTGGAAAGGGGGGGATTGCTGCAAGGGGGAGGGGGAGCTGAAATCCAGAGCGCCGGAGTGGGAACTGGGTGGGAAGCAACAGCTGATCAATGGTAGCTGGGGGAGAGCGGAACGGACTGAATGTAACTCAGGAACTGCCCGGCTGTAGCTGGCTTGGCTCCTGCAGGCGCTCAGGGGAGCAGAGCCTGGGGGGTCAGGGAAGGCAGCAGCTCTGGGACTCGCAGCCCCCCCAACCCCAGCAGAGGTGGGGGAAGAGGGGCCATTGGTGCAGAGTCACCTTCCTGAGAGGAGGAGGCCATGGGATTCCCTGAGTGCTGAGCCAACGGGCTGGATTCTTGTGAATCACGTGAGCATCGCCTTGCTCCTTCCAAAACAGAAAACAGGGAGCAGGAGGGGGAGCATAGCTCAGATCTGGTGCCGAGTCCTTGCTGCTCAGCACAAATGTTCCCAGCCACCGACACCCCCTGCAACCCCCCCGTCTCCCCAGCCACTTCCCCAGCAGCCCATAGTCACAGTAGTACCCCCTGAGACCAACATGATGTTTGAAACGGGAGGGTTTGCAGGATCAGGCCCTCGTCGCCTCTCTCATAAATTATTGCTCCATATTTCATACAGGGGAAGGCGGGATCCAGGAAGGGGGTCTGAGTGAGGGGCGGGGGGGACTTCAGCACTGGAGCCCAATTGGGGAAGGGGCTGACATCCAGGCAGGTAAAGCTGGCCAGTGTGTCAGGAGCTGATTCCCATCAGAATTTGCTACTAGTAACAAAAGCCTAAACTCACTTGGAGGCTGGAGCCTAAGGCTTTGCAGTAGCAGTTCCCTAGGTGCCTGTTTCTGCCTCTAGTCATGTGCACTGTTGCCTCCCACTAGGCACCCATACGCTATCTCCTGCCCAATCCCTAGCACAAACCATGAACTTGGGGAAGATAGGTGCTTCTCCGCTTATTTTGTCTGCAGTGTCTGATCCAGCAGTTCTGCTCAGAGGCCAACCATTAGATCCAGTCTCATACAAAATCTGGCCAGAGGAGGATGTGCCATCCCAATAGTTAGAGCACTCACCTGCAATATGAAGAGACCCAGGTTCACTGCCCCTCTGTGTGAGGGAGAGAAAGCACTTGAACTGGGGTCTTCCACACCTCTTAGGAGAGCTCTCTGATAGTTTGTTCTCGTATGTTTCCAGGTACTGAAGTTAGGCTGACTCATCTATAATTCCCTGAGTTGTTTTTGTTCCCCTTTTTAAAGATAGGTACAATGTGCCCTTCTCCAGTCCTCTGGGACCTCACCTGTCCTCCACGAGTTCTCCAAAATAATTCTTAACAGTTCTGAGATTGCTTCAGGGAGTTCTTTATGTGTCCTGGGGTGAATTTCATCAGGCTCTGACAACTCCAATACATCTAATTTATCGAAATACACTTTAACCTGTTATTTCCCTATTTTGGCTGGTATTCCTTCCCCCTTGCTGTTCATAGTAATTATGTTGAGTATCTGAAGACTGAACCAAAATAAGCATTAAACACCTCAGTGTCTGTGACCAGCACATGGGTGATCATGCCTAGTGGTCACAGCAGGAGTTATTAGCCAGGAGTCAAAGCCCAGGGTCAGAACAGGAGTCAGAGGCTCGATAGAGTAGGTCCTCAAGGAATCAATTCTGAAGCACTTAGAGGACAGGAAAGTGATCAGGAACAGTCAGCATGGATTCACCAAGGGCAAGTCATGCCTGACTAACCTAATTGCCTTCTATGACAAGATAACTTCTCTTCGACACTGGTGAGGCCTCATCTGGAGTACTGTGTCCAGTTTTGGGCCCCACACTACAAGAAGGATGTGGAAAAATTGGAAAGAGTTCAGCGGAGGGCAACAAAAATGATTAGGGGACTGGAACACATGAGTTATGAGGAGAGGCTGAGGGAACTGGGGATGTTTAGTCTACGGAAGAGAAGAATGAGGGGGGATTTGATAGCTGCTTTCAACTACCTGAAAGGGGGTTCCAAAGAGGATAGCTCTAGACTGTTCTCAGTGGTAGCAGATGACAGGACAAGGAGTAATGGTCTCAAGTTGCAGTGGGGGAGATTTAGGTTGGATATTAGGAAAAACTTTTTCACTAGGAGGGTGGTGAAACACTGGAATGCATTACCTAGGGAGGTGGTGAAATCTCCTTCCTTAGAAGTTTTTAAGGTCAGGTTGACAAAGCCCTGGCTGGGATGATTTAATTGGGGATCAGTCCTGCTTTTAGCAGGGGGTTGGACTAGATGACCTCTTGAGGTCCCTTCCAACCCTGATATTCTATGATTCTATGAACTGGCTCTGTGGATCAGGGGAAAGAATTGGACATGTTATTCCTTGACTTTAGCAAAGCGTTTGATATGGTCTCCCACAGTATTCTTGCCAGCAAGTTAAAGAAACATAGGCTGGATGAATGGACTATAAGGTAGATAGAAAGCTCGCTAGATCATCAGGCTCAACGGGTAGTGATCAATGGTTCCATGTCCAGTTGGCAGCCAGTATCAAGTGGAATGCCCCAAGGGTCGGTCCTGGGGCTGCTTTTGTTCAATATCTTCATTAACGATCTGGAGGATGGCATGGATTGCACCCTCAGCAAGTTTGCAGATGACACTAAACTGGGAGGAGTGGTAGATATGCTGGAGGGTAGGGATAGGATACAGCAGGACCTAGACAAATTAGAGGATTGGCCCAAAAGCTTACTGCAGGCCAGCTGAACTGGTTAGGTTGCCCAGAGACTGGCAGGCCCTGATTCCTGACAGTAGACCCTGCCCCGATGGCAACCCATAGGGGCCTCCTGGCCCAGTTTTTTGGGGTACTTCCTATGGAGCTCTCGCACTAGATCCTGGGTATAGATGTTCTCTACTGGGTCCCAAGACCACACGTCTGGACTGTAGACTTTCCAGTCCACCAGGTACTGGAGCCTTCCCCTAACTTGCCGAGAGTTGCGGATTCAGTACTCCTCCTGTCCCTGTACTGTTATGGATGGTGGTGGTGAGTTGGAGCAGTTAGGATCTGGGTTCTTGGTCTGGGGCTTTCAAAGTGAGATGTGAAAGATGGGGTGGATCTTCAAGGACTCAAGCAGCTGTAACTGGAAAGGCAGTGGGTTCACCCATTCTATAATCTTGAAGGGGCCCAGGTATTGGTACTCTAGGTGATGGGTGGGTAGTTCTATTTAAGGTTGTAAGCAGAGAAACACATCTTGTCTCCTATGGCTAGAATAGGAAGAGCCTGACACTCTTGGTCTGAATGGTGTTTATAGGCATCTTTAGAGGACTGCAAATGTTCCTTGAGCTTCTGCTGCACCCAGTGTAGGTGGGAGGTTAAATTTGCGGCAGCTCATACTGGGGAACTCACAGGTAAGTCTGGGTGTCAGCAGTGGTGAAAGCCAGGGCTTGTAAAAAACGGGCTATGTTGGGTTGAGGCATGACTTACATTGTTAAATGCAAACTCAGAGTAGCACAGCAGGGGGTGCCATTCATCCTGGGGGTAACTCAAAAGGCCGCAAAACTACTGCTTCAAGATTTTATTGACCCTCTCTGTTTGCACATTAGTCTGGGGGAGATAGGCAGATGAGGTGAGGAACTTGATGTCAAAAAGTCTAGAAATTCACATAAGATTTGGGAGATGCACTAGGACCCTGGTCTGATATAATGCACATTGTTAACCCATGGTAGCAGAAGACATTTTTCAGGAAGAGCCAGGCCATCTCCTGTGCAATAGGAACAATACCAAATGGGATGAAGTGCACCATCTTTGTTAGGAGGTCAACAACAACCAGGATTACCGAGTTTTCCCTGGGAGCATGGCAGTTCTATGATGAAATTCATTTATATAATAGACCAAGGCTACAGAGGTCTTAGATTGGCCAAAATGGCCCTGAAGCAGTGAATTCATAGAATCATAGAATCATAGAATATCAGGGTTGGAAGAGACCTCAGGAGGTCATCTAGTCCAACCCCCTGCTCAAAGCAGGACCAATCCCCAATTAAATCATCCCAGCCAGGGCTTTGTCAAGCCTGACCTTAAAAACTTCTAAGGAAGGAGATTCTACCACCTCCCTAGGTAATGCATTCCAGTGTTTCACCACCCTCCTAGTGAAAAAGTTTTTCCTAATATCCAACCTAAACCTCCCGCACTGCAACTTGAGACCATTACTCCTTGTCTTGTCCTCTTCTACCACTGAGAATAGTCTAGAACCATCCTCTCTGGAACCACCTCTCAGGTAGTTGAAAGCAGCTATCAAATCCCCTCTCATTCTTCTCTTCTGCAGACTAAACAATCCCAGTTCCCTCAGCCTCTCCTCATAAGTCATGTGTTCCAGACCCCTAATCATTTTTGTTGCCCTCCGCCGGACTCTTTCCAATTTTTCCACATCCTTCTTGTAGTGTGGGGCCCAAAACTGGACACAGTACTCCAGATGAGGCCTCACCAATGTCGAATAGAGGGGAACGATCACGTCCCTCGATCTGCTCGCTATGCCCCTACTTATACATCCTAAAATGCCATTGGCCTTCTTGGCAACAAGGGCACACTGCTGACTCATATCCAGCTTCTCATCCACTGTCACCCCTAGGTCCTTTTCTGCAGAACTGCTGCCTAGCCATTCGGTCCCTAGTCTGTAGCTGTGCATTGGGTTCTTCCGTCCTAAGTGCAGGACCCTGCACTTATCCTTATTGAATTGAATTGTGGCATTGTTTCAATTCCTGAAGCAAAGGGTGTTGCTCTGGAACTTGAATACAACTCGTGTGATAAAGGAGGCCATTTCATAGTCAGAATTTAGAGTTCTGGCAGGTACCCACATTAGTCAGGATCTGGTGGATTTGGATAGCAAACGGATCATTGGAGAGCCGGGGTGGATGGAGGATATCACTGAGACTGCTGTCTATTGTCCCGTTGACAAAGCTGGAAACCTTGAACATGGTGATAGAGGGCTTTTTGCTAGGTTCATGATACTCATTTTTTTTTCATGAAAAGGCATCCACTTTCCCATTCTTGTCTTTGGGCAATAGGTTACCACAAAATCGAAGCAATCAAAGAAGAGGGACCAGCAGATCAGGTATTGGTTAAGGCAGCTAGCAGTCTGTAGGCTCTTCGGGTTCTTGTGCTCTATCAGGACTTGCACCAGGAATCGGATTCTTCCTAGATGAAGCACCATGCTTCAAAAGCTGCCTTGATAGTCACTAACCCCTTGCCACAAATATTGTAATTTTTTCCACTCAGGTTAGCTTCTCAGAATAAAAAGTACAGGGGTGTAGTT